CATCCCAGGAGTCTTCAGGTGGGGAGGAGGGGTTTCCTCAGCTAAGCACTCTCCTGCCTGCATGTCTGAGCTAAGGGCAGGTGGATCCCAAGGAGCAGGTAGCTAATCATTTTCAGCAATTATTCGGCAAGAACTCCTTTTTAAAATGGGAGAGTTTTCTTCTAAACCAGTGATCTCCAAACTGCAGCCTTCTGCTTGCTTTTATCTAGCCTTTGTGGCATTATTCTCTTTTGCTGACATCAGGGTGGGGCACGGTTCCTCCCACTGACACCAGGGTGGGGCACCGAGAACAGGGATGGGGCAACATTTCCCCCCTGACACCAGGACAGTTTCTACTCCCACAGGCCACATTGTAACCCCCTAAAGTTTGAAGGACCGCAAAACTGGCCTTTATTTAGAAAGTTTGGAGACCCCTGCTTGAAATATTTAGTTGTTCCTTCTCCATTATGATCCACTTGGGACTTATCACGGCCAGTGGATATGTTTGTATACAACGCGGTGGTTGCGTTTGTAGTGCAGCAGATTTTTTTTTTTCTTGTTACTGCATTTTGCAGTTGCTGGGTATTGCCACTTGCCAACTGTACCCATTCAAGTCAATGGCACTGTGTTGTGGTTGCAGTGCAAAATCCCCCTTGGGGATCAAAAAAAAAACATTCATGGCAACTTATCACCTCCTGAACAGCTGGCTCTGAACTTCTTCTGAAAAATGATACACCACAGATCAGTTTTCAGAGTGCCGACCATCTCAAAGTCCATAACACTTAGCTTGGGTGAGAGATGGGGGGACCCTCAGAGGCTGTCCTACTGTATGCCCAGATGCCAATACATTGTAACCAGTTGGAATAGACTCGCCTATCTCAGGGGTTCTTGTGTTTGCACTTTTTAAAGCAATATTAAAATTGAAACCAAACCTTTATTATATTGCAGCTCACCAATTCTTAGATGTGATGGCTGCATTAGTTTTATTTTAGGCTCTTCTACTTTCATCTAGTGATCCAGCATGCAAGTCTGTTTTCACAGCCCAAACTCCGCAGAATGTGTCCATTTACATGGATGAGACAAATAGCTTGCAAGCTGATCCTTTTTAATTTTCTTGCCATTGTTGGTGGTTTATGTAAAACTGGAAAGGAAAAGAAGAAAAACTGAAGCCAAACTTCAGCTCGCACTTAATAATCAGTTACAGCAATTTGCTAGTGTATCCAAACCTACTAATACATCAAACACTCCCCCCAGACTGACAGAGCTGCTGTGCCTCCTGTGCTCATTCCTCCAGAGCTCTCCATTATTACAGGAGGTGTTTTACTGGCCAGATCACCAGGTAAAAAACTGGGGAGGAGGGGGTAGGGGCAAAGAAAAGGAAAACTAATGCAGCCACCATATCTAATGATTTGTAAGCTGCAAAGTAGTTTTGTTTTTTTTTTTTTTTTTTTTGTTTTTTTTGGGGGGGGGGGTTAAAACAGATCTAGAAGTCCTCCTAGACACAAGTTGCTAGTACATCTAAAGTACAAATTGTCGGTCTTGTTTCATGACAATGGATCGGATTCAGTCATGGCCTGGACAGTAGGAGTTTGCAGTGGAGAAGTGCAGATTCTCCTTGGTTGAGGAAATGAGGAACCAGAATTAGTGTCTGGGCTGTTTGTAGCGTCGGTGGCTTTTCGGTGCATACAAAAGGTTCCGCACCATTGCAAAGCTGACACTGTTCCGGGAATGATACATCTATTCTATGTGGTTCTCCAATCTCCATTCTATTCAGTGCTCATTGTTCCTCTGTTTGTATTACACACAGTGCAGGAACAAGAGTGTGGATGTGTACGGCATGCCTCGGCTTGTAGAAGATGGCAAAGAAGTGGCAGTTGCTGTGTCCTGTGCATGGAAGTCTTCCAGTTGGAGGTGGTTAACCCCTTTGCTGCCACTGATGTACAGCTGTGCAATCACTTCCACACCCCCCAAAATGTCCAAACACCCCAAAATGTGTCCCTACCCCCCCCCCCCCTTGCTTTCCAGGCTCCACACTCCATCTGCACACCCAGTACAGGCATAGCAGGTGTCATGGGGTAGGGAGGAGTGCGACCAGTGAGTCTGTTACTGAACTCTACCTACTAAGAGCACCAGAAGCAATGTGGATTCAATTTGTATTGGGTCACTTCCGGGTTCTGCTGTCACTTTCCAACAGCTGTGGTCACGAAAGAAGCTCTTGGAGTGCCACCTGTGCTCCTTTAGCTTCAATGGAGATCTAACTACCTCTGTCATTAAAGAGAACCTGTCAGAGCAATATAGTATAACCCTAGGTTCACATATGTGCGGGTGATGCCACTGCGGATCCGCAAAAAAATTAATGGACCACCCGCACAGAAATAAGGACCCATGGGTGGGTGCCATTAGTTCTAATGGCACGCCGCCTGCACTGAAAAACTGAACCGAGGTTCCCGTGCGGGCTGTCTTTTCAAAAGAAGTGCAGGGACTTCTTCCCTGCGTGGTACGGGAGTCCATTCAAATAAATGGGCTCTCGTACCCATGCAAAACATGGCCCACACTGCCACATATATGTGAACTGGGGGTAACATAGACTTCCAAATCCCCCCTAAATTCAAGCGTGGTTTTTTTTTTTTTTTTTTTTTTTTTGGGGTAAAAAGAGAAAATATACCCAAGCAATCCCTGGATCACACCCCCTTCCCCAACATACGCACACCGGAGTGAACAAAAAATCTAGCACCATTCCTAATGGCTTACGCTACCTTAATGATCTATAGGAGCTTTTTAAATCGTCCCTTAGAGAAATTTTAGGGTACCAGAATTTTTTTTTTTTTTTTAAGCAATTTTAAGACTTGATATGTTCATCAATTTCCTCAGCACAACCTCTTCAGTGGGCTGCCCTCTGTGTTTTGCCTAAAACTTTTTTTTTTTTTTTTTTTTTTTTTCTTACAAGTGTTGCACAGGATCGCACTGCGTTTTTGGAATGCAGTTATGGCACCAAAACATGCATTGCACATTTTATCAAAATTTGGGATTGTGGCGATTCTACTGGCATTTCCAAAATCTCAAGTGTGAGTGTAGCACAAGTGTCTGTAGATGTGAAACTCATTAACCTGGTAACTGGGTATCTGTGCTAGATTTTATAACGTAGCTGAAATTGTATCTTGTGATGTGGGGATATCCTCTTTTGTATCAGTCTTGGTTAGGAGCCCAACCTGCACCCAGGCAGCCATGGGGGGTGGCATTACATGGTGGACTGACCAGAAACTGTTTGCTTTGTTGTGTAATCTTCAACAGAAGAAATGTAATGTGTGCAGACACATGCATAAACCACTTCAGCAGTGACATGTTGGCAACCTGCATTTCTGTGCATAGTGTGTTTTTTGTAAATTTGTAATCCTGTAGATCAGAACTGCATTTCTAAGATAGAACTGCCCTTCCTTTTTTTTTTTTTTTTTTTTTTTTTTTTTTTTTTTCCTTCACAACAGTGGCAAGGACTGCCGCACCTCTAAAAAGCAATCCACGCTTTGAGGTGATATGTTAATGGTGAAGTCTTTCAATTTTGACTGGAGTCCCTTCCAAAGTGTGTCTTTTTTGGTTTTATCCAGGATTTGCTGTTATACCAGTCTACCCCTCTTCCTTTTTTTTTTTTTTTCATGGTTTGAGATCGCCTGCTTTGTGAGATAGGAGAGGAGGTTGCTAACGCACCCTCTCTTGTCCCTCATGGCTAGAGATTAAAAGAGGGGGGGGGGGGGGGGGGGGCTGGAGTCAGTTCTAATTTTCTCATGGTCACCAATCAGATTCAAGCTTGCTTTTGAAAGTTTGAAAACTGTTTAAACTTTCTGAAGTTGGTGCAACTTTTTCTTTCAAAGTTTATGTGAACTCTTGCATTGTAAAACTTATTCAGGTTAATACAGAGACCTATAAATACTTTTTTTTTTTTTTTTTTTTTTTTTTCTATTTACAATCCTCTGTTCTCAGCTGCATAAGAATCTTGGGGAGCTGGGGGAGGAGAAATGGCAGAACACTGAACTTCAAAGTGGCTGTCTAACTTCATTTTGTAAAGAGCTGTGTAAAGTATTGGCGCTATATAAATCCTGTATAATAGTGTGATCAGTTTAATAGGAAAGAGGGACTGGCAGGAACACCAGCCATTTCACACAAAGGAAGCAATACAAAGAACAGACTTTTTTCATAAATCAGGTACATGTCAGGAATATGAAATGATGGGTTTACATATTCAGTGAGTTTTCTGATGTTTGTTTAAAAAAAAAAAGTCATACTTTCTTGCTCTTTGCAATGGCTTTGCACAGAGCAGCCCCGATCTCTCTTCTCAGGCTCCTCCCTCCTGCTTAGTGCCACCATAGCAAGCAACTTGCTATGGAGGCATCCAAGCAGGCTTGCCTCCTGAGCCGCTGCTTTGTGTCCATTCAGACATGGAGTGTGGCACAGTCCTGCTCTCTCCTTACTGGTTGGGATTGACCGTAGCAGGAGTCAGTCTACTGCTGCTGTCTCAGCCAATGAGAAGGGAGAGATCCAGGAAAGCAGAGGCTCTTGTGCACATCCTGGATCGTGTTGGGGCTCAGGTAAGTATTTTTAGGGTGTGCAGCTGCACACCAGTTATCTAACTTCAAGCATAACATGCATGAAGGTTAAAAAAACAAAAGTGATCCTTTAAGAAAATAAATCTCTACTATTAAAGTGGTTGTAAAGTGATACTAAATGCACACTGTTTTTTAATTTACAGTGTTCCTTTTTCTGTATGTGAATGATGGTACTGTAATTGTTAATTTAAAAAAATCTAAGTACCTTCTTTCCTATTTGATATACCGCTGTTACATGACCCAGCTCTTTTCCGACCTATCTGCAGGGGAACATAAGCAGGAGAAGCTTCAAGTCTTCTGCTGGTCCAGTGTTAAAGGGAAAAAAAAAAAAGCCATTTGGGATACAGAGTAAAAATAAATATCAGTGTTAGATCGTCAAACACAGACTTACCTCGGTTTACGTCTTTAATTTATTTCCCATAGGAATGTATTGAAAACCAATTAATCCGTTCTGGAGGGCAGAAAAAAGTAAGTCTTATTTGTTCAAAACTCTTTATAAAGTGCAGTTTAAAGGCATAAATACTGTACGGGGACATGATTAAGAAAAAACTATTTGTAAATGCATTGAAAACCAATGAATCCGTTCGTATTGCGAAAAAATTTGTAAACCGAGCCATTATTTTCAATGGATTTTCATTCATAAAACCAAAGTTGCATTAACCGAGGTGTTCGTAAACCAAGGTACGCCTGTATATATATTGAAATCAAATCTTAATTTTTTGGCAATGACCTTGTGTGGGTGTCAATCCCTTCTAGCCTGTGTCCTAAAAAAAAAAAAATAAAAAAAAAAAAAAAAAAAGGAAGCCTCAATCAATCAAGATGTAATATCCCCCCCACATTGTGTATAGCTAATCCATGGCTAGATCTTCGTTTTGTACAGCCTGTGCAGGGGCTTGGCATTTACAAAATAGGCCTTCTGTACGAGAGTGAAAGATGCTTGGCATTGATTGAAGCCAGGGTAGGGTCTCATTGGGTACAGTATGCTGTATGATAACTTTTTTTATTTATTTTGGGAGGATAGGTACAGATATTGCCTGCTGTCTGTAGCCTTGACCCATCACCCCTTTACTTCTCCACAGAAGGAATACCGCCCCAGGCTTTGCACCATGAAGAAAGGACAGAATGGATATGGATTTAACCTGCACAGTGACAAAAGTCACCCAGGGCAGTACATCCGGGCTGTGGATCCTGATTCACCCGCTGAGCAGGCTGGACTTCTGCCAAAGGATCGCATCATTGAGGTACGCTCATGTACTTGGATGAGGTAACCAGGCAACAATTATTCACCGGGAAAAAAAACAGGCGTTGCCTATCGTGATTAAAGACCGGCAGAGGAGATATGAGCCCGGGCACTCATATGGTGTAACTTGAACAAGCAGCATTACCACTTTACAGCACCGTCTCTGGTTGTTTTCCCCGCAGGTTAATGGTGAAAGCATGGTGGGCAAACATCACGGAGAGGTGGTGAGCGCCATCAAGGCTGGGGGCGAGGAGACAACGATGTTGGTGGTTGATCCTGAGACAGACCAATACTTCCAGGAATGTCATGTGACCCCAGGACAGCAACACCTGTCAGGTTAGTGAAATTGGATTGTGAGTTGCTAACAGCTTTCTCCCCCCTCCCTTCAATCTACTTAGCTGGATTATAGGGATTCCATGTACTGGATTCACATCTCTGTTGAGTACATGGGGGGAGGTGAGCAAGATTTGTGCACTTTGCTCCACTATCTTCTTACCGTGTGTTGATAGTCCATTATCTGTCCCAGCATGACTCTACCACTGTGCACAAAGCCAGCTCCATAAAGACATGGCTTGATGAGTTTGGTCTGGAGGAACTTGAGTGGCATGGAATGAGTCCTGACCTCAACTCTACTGAACATCTTTTAGAAATTCTGATTGCAAGCCAGGTCTTCTTACCCAACATCATTTCCTGACCTCCCAAACGTTCTTGTGGCTTTTGGGCACACATACCCAAAGACCTGCTCCAAAATCTTGTTGAAAGCCTTCCCAGTAAGATGGAGACTATTATTGCTTTAAGACTGCATTCCAAAACTATGAACATTCATATGCAATGTTAACAGTTTTTTTTATATGGGTGTGATAGTCAGGTGTCCACAAACCTTTGGGTATGCAGTTGGGTCTCTGAGTAATCAGATGTGTTACTCCTCTGAATAATTTGTAGTGTCCCGGACTTTAACTGTCTGCTGTAGAATGTTGTGTTCATGTTTTATCGTACAGATGGTAAATAGTGTTTTCAAGGTGAGAGAGTCCAACTTGAAAACCCTATGAACTGGAGTTTTGAGAATTTGGAAAGAACGCTACCCAAACTCTCAAACTTTGATCTCGGAATATATAGGGTGTTCACAAGAAACTGCTGTATTTATGATGGCACAGCTTTAGAGACTTTTGTGTAGCTGGGGAGAAGACATACCTGGATAGACAGTACCTGGCTGTTGATCATGTATATAAAAGAGTTGGTATTCATTGCTCTATATATTTCCCTTATTTGGACAGTAGCCAAAAAATGAATAGTTCTGGGAGACAGGCTCAGTAGTACATCGTTGGCAAGGTTGAATAAAGACCTCCAGTTCAACTGGTGTGGGTGTATGGTCATTGGTGCCATGGTTCTTCAAAGTGGCATTGGCTTCAGCATTATGCAGGTAATGGGTGGTCAGTCACACACAGTTCAAGGAACTGCTAGCAACTTCCTGGAGGAACTATAGGGTTTTTTTATGGAACACTGGTTGAGAATAGCTGGTATATAGGGGTGGAGTTTTAACTAAAACTGGTACATGGTAGCCAATCGGCTTCTAACCTCAGCTTGTTTAATTAGGCTTTGCCAATAAAACCCTGGAAGCTGATTGGTTTCTATACAGAGCTGCACCAAATTTTCCATGCTCCAGGTTTAATCTCCTCCAGTGATCATTTTTGTATGGCTTTGTAAACTTACAATATCACTGTTTTAATTGGATCTGACTATCATCTGCAGCAATAGAAGACCAAAAAACAATTTGGTGTCGTTTAAAATTTTTAATAAAAATACTTTCCTGATTAACACCAATTAGCTTTGTCCTCCTTCCTTCTCTTGGCCATGTATTTGCTGTTGTCCTTTTATCTTTTGTGAATAACATCCTCATGTATTGCACCAGGAATTAAAAAAAAACATTAGGCATCCTAAAAACAGCACTAAAAAAATGGCAAAAAGTGTATTCCCATTTACTGGGAATTTACTTGTTGTTTTTTGTTTTTTTTGTTTTTTTTTTTTTAGACCATACTGGCTGTGAGCACTGATAAAGATGGGTTTTGGTGAGGGAATTTTGCTGTGGGTACCTGAAACTCTATAAAGCAAATGTCGTCTTGCCCAGACTCAACAGTCTTCACAAGTTTGTTTTGCTCTCAGAACCCCTGCAAGTCTTGAAAGCAGGGCATGTAACTCTTCAGAGATATTGGGTGGTGGCAGCTTTGATAAATGAGGATTTGGGTCTGTGTCCCTGCTAGAAATGAATTTTAATTGTTCTGTTTAGTGCTGGATAGACTAGGATTTATTTTCTTCGGTTGTTTTGTTTCCTATGGACAAGCTGCTTATGTTGTAGCTAATACTAGGCATGCATTGTAGCCAGTTTAAATCTGAAAGTGCTTAATGAACTCATCCACGTGAGGCTTTGTTCCCCAAGAGGCAGCAAAAACAAGGTCCTCACTTGGGGTCCCCCCCAACCCCCCACTTCAAAAATGTATATGTACCATTTCTGAGCAAAGTTACTGCCAAGTCGAGGCATGTAACTAAAATTTGAAATTTGCCTTCCTATATGGACAGACCATTGCTTGTCCTGAAAAACGGTCCTCTAAGACCTGACATTGCAGTTTTTGGTACTGGTAGGTACATTAGTTTTAAGTTTTCAATATATTTTGCTGTGATTAGATTTCTACTCTGCAGTCCTCAGCCCTGCTTTCTCCTTCAAATGCTTTGGTTGCTTTTCTATGACATAAATGATCAGCTTTTCTGGAAAGGAGAGACCTCTGGTTGGAGCAAGAGTGAGGACCTGGAGAACAAGATGACTGGAGTCCTTGCAGATGCAGCTTCATGAGTCCACTGTACTATCTCTGCTTCTTCCCCCTATTTTCTAACATTGCTATGCTTTTGTTGGCTTTTCTACTATAAAAGCATTGATCAGATCAGGAAAGGAGTGACTTCTGATGGTAGTTGTTCCAGGTGGGGGAGTTGGGTCCTGAAGAATAAGAAAGCTGGAGCTCCTACAGGTGCGGCCTTTAGGAGTCCATTCTAACAACTGCTTAATTTGAAAATATTCGTATTGGGGTACGCTTTATCCAGGCTTGTTTGAGTGGCTGTTTTTAGGCCTTGTATGGATAAACCTTGAAATCGTGTTCCCCTTCCACTCCCATTACATTCCCCTCCTGAGAGCCCCTGAAAACAGGTCTGAAAGGGTGCATTGAGCTGCAGGTCCTCCTTTTCATGATCTTGAACTCTCTCCCCAGGGGAGTGAATACTGGGTGGTATGCAGCCAAGAAGGCTGTAGATGCTGAATGCTTTTGTTCACATGGCAACTCTGAAATCTGTCTAGATAGCCAGACGGTGAACTTTACAGTCAGAAGTCGTTAAGTCTTGCCTCTTAATGGACATCTCGTGAAGACTATTTCAGATCTTTGATGGTTTAAAATAAAAGATCCACCTGTGTGGTTTCATCGGTTTGTAGTTATGGTATGGGTAGGGATGGCAGTATGTTCGTTTGCTGCTTTCTGGGTTGCTATAGGGACCGACAGTAATCCTCTTGCTAATTCTATTCAGGCTGAAGGCTCTCCTGCTTCACTTAACAGGATCAGTTTTATGTACGCAACACTGCTATACTGTGCTTTGCTTTTTTACTTTACATTCACATACAAGCGAGGCCTCCAGTTTTTTACTTGTATAGCTTATGGGTTGATTTTAAAGTTCTCTATGTACTGCAGGGTCCTATTGTCTGGGGCTGATTGTGCTTGTGAGTTCATAGCATCCAACCAAAGTCCAGCTGTCCTGTTCCATCCAATGGGCACAGTAAAAGGTCCCTTTTTTTAAAGTGCATATGCACCTTTTTTATGAAGGAAATGTTCACCAATGACCCTCTAACCCAGGGGTGGGCAAACTTTTTGACTTGAGGGCCACAATGGGTTCATATATTGCACCCGGGGGCCGGACCAAGAGTAGATGAATGATGTGTGTGTCATCCATAGTAAGTATAGTAATATTCCCCCATAGTAAGCATAGTAATTCATCCCCCCTATAGTAATTCATCCCCCATATTAAGTCCCCAAGTCCCCCCTGTGTCAATTCACTTACCTTTGCTCCGTGCGTTCCTCTCGCCGTGTTCCCGCGCCGTTCCGGTGTAGCATGAAAATCTGTCTCCTATGAGGATCTGTCCCCCTCGACGTATCCGCATGTGCCAGTTTCAGGCATTAGCAGCCGATCGGCGATCTCCGGCACATGCGCAGATACGTCGAGGGGGACAGATCCTCATAGGAGACAGATTTTCATGCTACACCGGTCTTCAGGGCAGACTGTGAGAGGAGCCTAGCTCCACGGGCCGGATTAAAAGGTCCGCCGGGCCGTAGTTTGCCCATTGCTGCTCTAACCCCAAGTATGTATGTATATCCCTAAAAGGTGCAGAAATTTTTCTTGTAAATCAGCACTTGGGTACCCTCTGGCGTAGCCATGCCACTGTTTAAAGTGGTTCTAAAGACTTAATTCTATGCATGAAGGTAAGAAAAAGTCTTCAGTGTTCAGCTCTCCCCCCATAGCCTAAACCTAATCTTAATCCAGCAATGTACACAAGAGCAGCATCTCTCCTGGGTCTCTCCCTCATTGTCTGACAGCAGCAGGAGCCACTGGCCCCCCACTGCTGGCTATCACAGCCAGTGAGGACTGAGGGGGGGGGGGGGGCCGGCTCAGGAGCAAGCATGCAGGCAGCTTCTTCTGGGGACACTGACCCGAGAAGAGGACGATCAGGGCTACTTAAAGGAAAACCATTGCACAGAGCAGGCAAGTATGACATGTTTGTTACATTAGGTTTAAAATCACTTTTAACGTCCAAGATGGAGTCTTCTGAGGACCACTGGCAGCACGTTTTTCAAGGAATTTTGCACCTGATGACCATTTAGAATTTTGTTGCTATGGTTTTAAATGTTCTCACATACTTGCATTACAATCAGAAGGTAGATGTGAAATTGTTGGATATCTCTGTACGCATTCAGCATACTAAAAATGTTTTATTTTTTCCTCCAAGGTCCTCTGCCAGATAAAGTGGTTAATGGGGACCTAGAAAAGGTAATGCTGCCTACTGGCCTATTTGTATTGCTCTTAAATATTTTGTGGGGTTTTTTTTTTTTTTTTTTTTTTGACTGCTTTTATATTTTCTGCTTGACAGGAAGACAAGCTGGAGCACCTGGAAAATGATAGTCCCCGGAACTCGTTTGTATCTAATCCTGAGCCAGCACCAGTAGAAAACCCAATTAGTCAGGAGGCGCAGAAGGTACATCTGTATATTATGTATTAAATACTCCTGAAGCTCTAAAATGATACATATTAAAATGTATGTGTGTATATTACAGTGGATATAAAGTCTACACACCCCTGTAACAATGTCAGGTTTCTGTGATGTAAAAAATGAGACGAAGATGACTAATTTCAGAACTTTTTCTTTTTTTTTTTTTTTTTTTTTTTGTGACTTATAAACTGTACAACTCAGTTGAACAACAGACTGAAATCTTTTAGGTGGATGCTATCGGCATGTCAAATCTCTTCTGTGCAATAAACACTCCAAACCTGTCAGATTTCGAGGGCATCTCCTGTGTACAGCCCTCTTCAGATCACCCCACAGATTTTCGATCAGCTTCAGGTCTGGGTTGTGGCTGGGCCATTCTAAAACTTTACTCTTCTGGTGGATTCCTTTGATTTGGATGTCACGCTGAAAGATTAAGTTCATGTTCAGCTTTCTAGCAGAAGCCTGAAGGTTTTGTGCCAGGAGAATGTCACATGTACCACACAGCCAGTACTTGCCAGATATTCTTGCAGCTGCTTTAATGTTGCTGTAGGCCTCTTGGCAGGCTCACATACAAGTTTTCTTGTCTTTTCATCAATTTTGGAGGGACGTCTAGTACTTGGTAATGTTGCTGTTGCGCCATAATTTCTCCACTTGATGACGGTCTTCACTGTGTTCCATGGTATATCTAATGCCCTGGAAATTCTTTTGTACCCTTCTCCTGACTGATACCTTTTTGATCCCTCTGATGCTTTGGAAGCTCTCTGCAGACCATGGCTTTTGCTGTAGGATGCGACTAAGAAAATGGCAGGAAAGACCAACTAGAACAGCTGAACTTTATTTAAGGTTAATCAGACACTTTAAATAATGGCAGGTGTGTACGGACTATTTAACATGATTTTGAATGTGATTGCTTAATTCTCAACACAGCTACATCCCCAGTTGTAAGAGGGTGTGCACACTTAGGCAACCACATTAATTTTTTGTTTGTTCAATTAAGTATGGACAGTTTATAGGTCACATTAAAGGTGGAAAAAGTTCTGAAATGATTTTTGTCATTTTTATACATCACATAACCTAACATTTTAACAGTGGTGTGTAGACTTTTTTTTTTTTTAAATGTTTTTGTGTGTTATACACACATTCCACGGGGGGCCATGAATGTATGTTATTTGAGCACAGAGCACTTTCAACTAATCAGGTTTATGTCACTATGGATTCCAAGTTTATTTGGACACTGTATTTTTTTTTGTATGCTGTTGAGCACTGTAAATCTGTTGTGCCTCTCACCCTCCACTCCCTGCTCACCTGTCACTCGTAAGCACAGAAGCCTTCTGTTTACAAGGACAGCTGTCCTCTTGGTGGCTGGTGGCTCACAGATCCCTGCATGCCCTGCATGTGCTCACTGTGAGGCATGGCAGGGGCAGATACTACCCAATTATCTCCCTGCAATTGAGAGGTGGAGCTGCCTACTTTGCCAGGACGTACTAAAGCTGGGCAGGTGAGATGCGAAGAAGCATTTTGAAATGCAAGCAGCGAAGGTACCAAAATGTTACATAGTATCAGCCTCTAGCACTGTACAGCAGAGCTCCAACTGGTTGTGGGAAATGCAGCACAAGGAGATGTCAGTTGTGCTTTGTCTCATGTACTAATGTGAGGTGTGTTTGTGGTTTTGTGTTTGTGGGGGTGTGGTTGTGTGGGGGTGTGGTTGTGTGTTTGTTTTTTTTGTTGGCCAAAACTCATGGTACTGCAGTGCCACACGGTTTGGTGTGCCCACACGATTCTAAAGTTTGTACCTTCCTTTTTGTGCATTTCCATGCACTTGTCATGGGCTGCCAAGATGGGACTGAGTGCTGCACACTCTTGTAATATTCTCATACAAACCTCTTTCACACATTCATCTAAATCCTTTTTGGTTCTAGGATGTTTTGGATTCCAGTCCAGTACCTGCTTCCAACCCTGTCCCAAGCATTGAAACGCTCGATCTTAATTTGTCCCTGGCAGCAGCAAAGGAGCGAGCCCACCAGAAACGATCACAGAAAAAGGCACCCACCATGGACTGGAGCAAACGGAAAGAAGTCTTTAGCAGCCTGTGAGAAGAGCAAGGGATTGATGCGGACCCCATGTCTGTACCATGAAGTCTTTGATGCAGACCCCATGTCTGTACCATGAAATATTCCTGTGATAATCAACAGCCATACCCTGCAGTCCCATATTTCCTGTTTCTTGTGTCATCAGCAATGATCAACCAGTTCTGTGGGGTGATTGCCAGCCAGTTGGTGCAGTTATTTATTCTTGTTAGCCTGTGAATCCGTCCATTGCTATCTGGGATTTGAGATGGTGTTGGTGCCTATGTGCACCCGTGCAGCAATAACTCTCCGAGCCATCTTACAGGGAGCCGGTGTCTTTGAAAGCCAGAGGAATGGAGGAAGACCTCCTCCTGTGTACAGTATACACAGAATAATGGTTTCTAGTAGAAAGTTCCATTCCACAAACTTTTACGGTCCTGATAAATTTCCATTTGCAGATTTTTGATGTTTCTAATGAGTTTTTTTTTCTAATATTTTGTGAAAAAAAAAAATGTTTAACCAGATATTTTGCTATATAGCTTAATACAGATTTCTTTACTTTTAAGTGCCTTGTTACTACTTGTGTGCCTAATTTTGTGAAGGTTATAGGTTTTTCATATGGTAGGGAGTGTACAGATTAACCACTTGCAATTTTTAAATTGTTCACTTGCATACTGAGCTCAACTTTGCTGGAAAATTACTTGGAACCCCCCGCTCATTATTTATTTTTCAGAAAACAAAGACCCTGGAGCATAAAGTGGTGGCTGTTGCAAGAACTCTAGGATAGGCAAAATCACCTATTTGTACACCCCTCTACACAACACTAAACCATTAATACATCTGTGAAATTCCTTACTGTTTAAGTCCAACTGAATTTTCAAGAAGTAATCTCTGTAATTCAAAAGCCCATCTGATCTGACAAGGTGGAGGTGTAACGGCAGGTATTACATCACATCTCTTTGATAGGAACTGTAGCTTCCTTTTACTGCAATCTCTGGGCATTGCATTGAATGTGGGTGGGTACACTAGGCCTGTACATGTTAAATGTGTCAGTCTTGCTCCAGCCACCCACTGCAAAAGGGGGCCGAGTTACATCACTGCTTCCTGGAGAAAGAACTACAGAAGGGATGTACCAAGACCAGTGACTGGGGGAATAGGAGACATAGAAGCCACTGGTCTTACAAACAGGAAACCAAAGTGAATCAACAGTTTGATTCAAAAGTGAATGAGCTATTTCAGAGCAACTACTGAGTGAACCAGATGGATGACCACCTAGTCAGTGAATGTAGAAAATGAGCAACAAGGACATGTTTGCCAGGCTTCTGCTTTAATGCATTATCTTTGTGCAACCATTTTATCAAAAACAAATTTTGAAGAAAAAATACACTAAAATTTCAGTGCACACAACACTATAGGATACCCAACATTTTGGTAAAATATAAAAGATGAGGTTGTGTTGCGGAAACAGATACCAAACGTGAAGACTCAAATGGCACATGCCCATAATATGGTGACAAGCTACTGTTCATGTGGTCCAACTGGAATTTTTCCTGCTGTTAGATCTGCTCTTATATGGTACCGTGTAGTCAAGGTGTGGGCATAGACAATGACCTTGATATAATAAAGGATGATAATAGTGAGTACAGCAGAGCCTGTATAGCTGAGCCCTATTGTGCAAAGGATTTCAGGTAACAGATGGTTGCATTTACCAGATTTTTAAAGAAAAAAGTCAACCAGTCCTAATGCATGCTTATGCACATGAGTGCATTTGCCCACGTAGTGTAAAAGTTGCTTATTTTTGGTTCTGGGTATGTCCTTGTGTTTTTGTACAGCCTGATATAAACATGAATGGCTGAAGGCAGCTGTACACAGCTATTTGCTGTAACTTGCGTAAAATGATGCATGCATATTCAATGTCCTGATCAAAGGTGTGTGCATTTGGGACTTTGTCTCTGTGCCTGCACCACTTTACACAAGTGGCAGCACCTAACTGCAGGCATCTTAACCCATTCATGTCTGAGTGGTTGTATGCAGCACCAGGACAACCGTGGCATCAAATGGATGCAGTGTGTTTACACTGCATGAGGAATGTGCATGAAGCCTTAAAGTGAACATGACTGAATTTTTTTTTTTTTTAAACAAGAAGGGTATACATGGCTACTCTGTTGAATGGTTGTGCACAAAACAGCCTTGTTCCTCCTCTTCTTGGGTCCTGGGCCCCTACTGAGTACACCTGTAGCAATCTGTCTACTATGGTGGCACTCATGAGGGCTTGCTCCCAAGCTGTGCTCTGTATGTCTATTGATGCCTACAGTGTGCCTTGGCCCTGCCTCCACTAACTCCTCACTTGCTGTGAGTGAAAGCAGGAGCCAATTGCTCCCACTGCTACCTCCTTGTCCAGTGAGGAGAGAGCTACTGCTCTTGGGCACAACACACTGGATCAACATCTGCCTTGGGTAAGTATTTGGGAAGGAGTGGGGGGAATTGAACACAGAAGGTTGTGTGGGGTGTTTTTTTTTTTTTTTTTTTTTTTTTTTTTTTTTTGGGGGTTTTTTTTTTCCACCCCTCTTCTAACCCTAAAGCATAGAATACATTACAGTGAAAAACCTAAGGCTGTTAGAACCACTTTAAAGTGTAGTTCTGCTTAAAGTCTGCCCACTACTACAAATGCTCAAAACATGCCTACTGGAGATTTGAAGCACATTCTGTGGCTTCAAAAATTACTGAATCTGGCCTTTTTTTTTTTCTTCTTCTATGGGTTCTTGCAGCCACTGCCAGGGTGCTACATTGAGTGTGAAGCCTGTCCCTCTTGTAGCCCCAAAATAACAAAGTACAACTGTTCGCCCCTTCTGAGTTAAAATACACCTTAAAATGAAGGAAAAAAAAATCCCCTGCAAGGTGATGTCATGAGGTGCTAGTATGCATTGCCTACTAGCATATTATGTAAAAGTTCCTTTAAAACGAAGCCCTCCAGTGGTGTGCTGTTCCTGCCGCAAAGGCTTCAATCTTTACCCGGTCTTCCTTCTGGGTTTAAGAGCTCCGGCTGTCTGACAAGCTGTGCCGTGATAACTTCATTCGTGCACAGGTGTCCCAGGCTACGGCACCGTACTCTGAAGGAACCAAAGGGGTATGCCATATCTTCAGCATGCATGTGCCGGCTCTAAAAAAAACAAAAAAAAAAAACTAAATGGTGTCTTTAGGTGAAATTAATTTTACCTACAGGTAAGCTTTATTATATGCGTACCTGTAGGTTAAAGTAAAAAGTCTACTACCACTTTAAAAGTTTACATATTAAGGAGTGCTCCAAAGACTGTTTTTGGATTAACAGCAATCAGATTGTTCTTTCACTTCCAACCTTGATCCAAGTGCTACGCAGTTACACTCACTAATACACAGAGTAGAGGAATCAGTTGTTGGCCTATGTCCAGGAAAGCCTTTATGAACATCTGATGTAACCTGCAGTTATAACTAATATTTGTTCAGAGGGTGGAAGTGGCAACATTTTAAGTTGAGAATTATGTGTTCCCTCTTACTGTTCAATATTGATATATTTCCCAGTTATCTTAATCCTTTGTTACAGGGTTACAACGTCTGTTAAAGCTAAACTCCAGTCCAATAACACTTAAAAAAAATATATATATATATTCCTCCTCAGCTGCAAATGATATCAATCCAATTTTTGTGTACCAAATGCCTTTGTAGACCCATTTTACCTGTAAATGTAGCAGTGACATCATAACTCTGTTGTGCATACCCTATGCAGAGAGCAGAGCTTTGAGAGGGACTCAGCAGGCCCCACCCACTACAAGTTGCCTATAGAAAACTACAGGGGGAGGAGACCAGACCAGTCACCCAGAAAAGGAGAGTGTAACAGTGACCGGTCTTTATTACAGGAAGCTCTTACACAGAGGTAAAGTTTTTACACTGGATTACAACACAGATCTGGAGAAAATACACAAAACATGCTGAGATCCTTAGGAAGAATACACAGCTTTTGTATTTCAAAAATATGTATCCCACCACCTTCTTTGTAGCATCATCAGGAAGCCGGTGGTCTCTTCTGGACTCTACCCTTGGGTTATACACCTGATGGAATCCTTGACTTGAGCATCCTAGAATGCTTTGGGTGGGGAGGGAATGTCATTTTGGCCTAGGCCAGAAAGGTAAAATAGCTGGCTATACTCCGCTGGAAAAAAAAAAAAAAAAAAAGTATTAGCCAAAAATTTTTTGGATGTGATTTGCTATAAGGGGGAGGAGGAACCAGATGAACCGAGCATGAAAAACGTAAGGTTCCACATTAGGCTTTAACATGTACTGAGCTAATACACCCAAAGGTGTCTGCTCCTTGTCTTTTTAGCAGTAAAATATTCCCCCCCCCCCCCCCCCAAAAGGCTCAGCATTCTTTGAGAGAATCAAAGCTGAGTGTTATGGAAACTCAGGCAGGGCCTGGGTCAGTAGGGGCCCCATGAGTTGCCTGTGGTACCTTTTTCATAGGCTTTTTTGAGTTTGGGCAAGGACACTGGGTCCCCATGATCCCCTATTGCCTGGGGGCCCCATGAGTTATCAGTCTGCCCCTGATGGAAACTGCAATCCTTCTCGGGGAGGTTGTTTTGAAAACATTCCTCCCTATTGGGATTAAAGTGCAGGCTTTCATGTAAAGGACAACAAATCGCATGTGCCAGCAACACTAAGGAAAATTGATTACACAGCTGCAATCCATTGTTCCGTGAGATTATAGTGTCTTTGTGGCTTGCCCTTTAAAGTCTAACTTCCTAGTGAGGAATTAACACAACCTTTGCTGTTTGCGTAAGTTTGGCTTCTACTATTGTTAATAAAGTGACCTGAGTTTACTAGAAAAAAAAAAATCATTTTATGAGCTACTAGGGCTTTGAAAGAGCTAGAGATATTGGTTTTGATGTTTTCTTGTAAAACTGCTATTACTATAGGGAGGTTGATCAAATCACTTCTTGTCTGGTGAAGAACACTAGAGGTTCTGAATTGATTTTGAGATGTTACCAGGCCACCCT